CTCCCCCCCCCCCAAGCACCACGTGACCAGGGCCAGCGCTTCCCCCTCCCCAAATGCCACGCGACCAAGGCCGGCGCTCCCCCTCTCCAAGTGCCGCGCAGCCAGAGTGCAGGCGGCAGCGCTCCCGGGGCCGGCGCTTACCGTGCACCATGTGCCCGGGGCCGGCTCCAGTACCATGCAGCGCCACATGCCCGGGGCCAGGCCAGCCCTGAGCACTTGGCGGGCGCAGACAAATGCCCCCGCGGGCGCCATGGCGCCCACGGGCACCGTGTTGGGGACCACAGGACTAGATGATCATAATGGTCCCTTCTGACCTTAAAGTCTATGAGACTTATGGGACAAACAAGGTTCTTCACAAGTTGTTAAGCTGATCACCAAGTCAAGAGCACATTTAAAACTATAGAACAGTCTCATACTTCATATTTCTAACTTTACATACAAGAATGATACATGCACCAAAATAGAATCATAGAATCCTAGAGTGAAAGAGACCTCAGGAGTCATCGAATCCAGCCCCCTGCCAAAAGAAGGACCAATCCCAACTCAATCATCCCAGCCAGGGCTTTGTCAAGCCAGGACTTCAAAACCTCTAGGGGTGGAGATTCCACCCCCTCCCTAGAGAACACATTCCAGTGCTTCCACACCCTCCTAGGGAAATAATTTTTCCTAATATCCAACCCAGACCTCCCCCACTGTAACTTGAGACCATTGCTCCTTGTTCTGCCATCCGTCGCTACTGAAACCAGCCTCTCCCCATTCTCTTTGGAACCTGCCTTCAGGTAGTTGAAAGCTGCTCTCAAATCCCCCCTCACTCTTCTGTTCTGCAGACTAAATAAACCCAAATCCCTCAGCCTCTCCTCGTAGATCAGGTGCTCCAGGACCCTAAGCATTTTGGTTGCCCTCCGCTGGACCCTCTCCAAACAGGATATACAGATCCAGCAGACTATACATTAAAATTGATGGGTTACATGAGGTATTTTGTCTAATGCATCTTTGGGTACGTCTAGACTACAGGCTTTTGTCGACAGAAGTTTTGTCGACAGATACTGTCGACAAAACTTCTGTCGACAAAGAGCATCTACTCTACATTCAGTTCTGTCGACAAAGCAAGCTGCTTTGTCGACATGGTAGTGTAGACGCAAAGGACAGTTTACATGCAATAATACCTTCTGTCGACAGAAACTCTGTCGACAGAAGGCGTTATGCCTCGTAAAATGAGGTTTACCAGCGTCGACAAAACTGCTGAGTTCTGTCGACGTTATGTCGACAGAACTCAGCAGTAGTGTAGACGCAGGTATAGTTTTGTCGACAAAAGTCCACTTTTGTCGACAAAACTCTGTAGTCTAGACACACCCTTTGAGTGATGCATGTTTTATATTCATAAGTCATTTTTCAGAAAGCACAAGGGGGACTGTCACACTAAGTGTCGCCCAAAGGCACAGAAATGATCAGCAAGGAACTTCATGATGCCATTTGTAAAGAGTCACTTTCCAGAGTACAAATACAGTTTTAGGTTTCAACAGCAACCTTGAAAGTGATCTCTAACAGGTTTTATTTATTTTTTAATTTGGATTTGTTCCCTTTTCTGCTCCTTTGACATGCGAAGGCTTGAAACTTTTTCCGTTACTTTATTTGGGGGAGTTTTCCGGATTAAAATACTAGGAACGCCTTTCCTTTTTGCTGAAGAATATCTGGGAGGTCTCGAGGATGTGTATAGTGAGCTCTTCTACTTTAACGGAAAATACGGTGGAAACTGGCTCTCAATTTCCTGATGTTTGTGCAATTACAGCCTCATCCTGAATGGTGGAAAGTAGGGTTGTTAAATATAGATTAACTGACTAATTGAATAGTCGATGCAAATTGCATTGATTATTCGATTAATTAATAAGGGCGCCTCTGCCTTTGAAGTGTAGCAACAACCCCAGGGCTCTTGCTACACTTCAAAGGAAAAAGCGCTGCGGGGAGCATGAGATCAGCAAGGCACTCAAGCAGTCCCCCACCAGCCCCGTGCTCCTCGCAGCATTTCAAAGCAGCAGCCCCACATGGAGCCCAGCCGACCTGCAGCTCCATGTGGCGCTGACACTTTGAAATGCCAAGTGTAGCTCAGCACTCCCAGCTGGCCCCAGGCCGCACACACTGTTTCAAAGCAGCTGACCATGGGCTCCATGTGACACTGCCCCTTTGAATCACCCCATATTTCCCCCCTCCTTACTGCCTCTTTCTGATAGAGGTAGCAAGCAGGGGAGTGTGACTATTTGACTAGTGTTTCACATCCCTAGCGGAAACCATCTTCAATTGTCACTGAAGTAAAAAAGAAACTGAATATGCTTTGCGTGTGATAGAATTGGTCCCTTAAAGCCATGCTAATGGTATATCAGTAGATACACTTACACTTAAATATTTCTTTTTTTAAATCAACTCTATCAAATAAGTAGTATTTTCAGAGATTACAAGAAGTAAAAACATTACCTCAGTAACAAAGAGCGTGCGGGGATCGATGATGTCCAAGAAGTGCCGGAATCGGCCATAAAATGAAGTCTGAAAGACAGAGCATAGACAAGATGTTCCTTTGTAAAACAGAAAGGCATTTTATATTGTTACTTCCTCTGGAGAACTACCGTATATACTCGTTCATAAGACGACTTTTTTTGGAACAAAATCCCGCTGTGAAGAGTGGGGGTCAGCTTATGAATGGGTTCTTCCTGAGCTGCGGGAAGTATGGGAGCGGAGAGGCTCCATGCCGGCAGCCCCCACAAGGATCGCAGTGGCAGGCGGGCAGGGCAGATTGTATGGCTGAGCTACATGCAGCCAAGGTAGCAGACCAGTGGGCAGGGGCCCATTAGCCAATGGGAGCTGCAGGAAGCAGCACGGGCTGAGGGGCGTGCAGGCTGCAGGCACGGAGTCTCTCAGCTGCCATTGGCTGGGAACAGCAAACAGCAGCCAATGGGAGCTGAAAGGCTCTGAGCCTGCAGCCTGTACGTCCCTCAGCCCACGCTGACACTGACGAGGATGAGCTGGGTCTGGAAGTCTGTGCTCTGGAGTCAGCTTATAAATGGGTCAGAGACTTTTTACCCTTTTTTCTCTGTAAGTCTGGGGGTTGGGTTATAAACGAACAGGCTTATGTTCAATTATATACAGTATAAAGTAAGGGGAAACGCTATTCACAAAAAAGCTGATAAGGTGTCTCCTACATAAGCTCTCCAGAGTAGACGAGATAAACCAAACCTAGGCTTTGAGGCTCTGAACAAATATATAGATGACAAAGGACTCTTTGTCTTCCGCAGCTGAATTGAAACAGGTGTCACAATTTAAGGAGGAGAAAACGTTTCTTCAACATGCCCCAAGAATTTACAAACCAGAGTCCTCAATCCTGCAAGGGGCTGGATGTGGGGGACACTGGTCACCCTGTAGAGTCCTTCGCAAGACCAAAGCCTAGCATACTGAAGTGTTGTGATACCACATGAGAACAAAGAAGTGAAATGGTTGTGCCCATTTTTATCATCCAAGGGGACCAGGTGCGAAGTAAATTAAATTCTCATTTTTAGTAAACTCATGTGAATCAGAAACACGATTATGGGTTTCTTGTTGGTTTTTCTAAAATGAGTTTTAACCTGATAGTACTGGGTGTTTTACAACACGCGCACAACCCTTGCCTGGAAGACCTTACACTGAATGAAGCAATCAATAGTGATTTTGCTAATTTGAGGTGCTTGATCCGTACATACAAGGACTGAAATGGTTTTTCAGGTCTCCAAAATTGATTAATGAAGGTCAGGATGTTTAAGCTTTTCCTAGGCAATTACCATTTTGGTATCTTGCTATTCTAGACGGCTGCAGGCAAATTTTCACTGAATTAACTTACGTTTTTCATTATCACCCACTCTTGGACCAGGAATGAACAGCAATAAATATTTATATTATGGTAGCACTCAAAGGCTCCAATTGGGATGAGAGGCCTTTCTGCTGGGTGCTACACAAACACAAAGTGTTTATAATATAAAAGACAGAAGGAGAAAAAGCTCAGGAAAGTGGATGCAACATTCAAACAAAGGAATATGGTAAAGAACTGGCCCGGTTTGTTGGTTACATATATTGTAATTCTCTCTCCCGAGTCCTTCCCATGCAAAGGAACTGCACTAGCGCTGCTCGCCTCTACAGGAAAAAGCTGTTTTCCAGGAACTTGGATTACAGAGTGAAATGGACTTCGAACACGTTATTAGTCACTTGCTCTCTGCACCAATGTCACTAAGATGCACTTGTAGCCAAAAGAACACAGCTCCTGTTAATAGGGACATTAAATGATTTTCAGGTATCTAAAAGGGGGACACAGGGAGGAAGGGGGAAAATTGTTCTCTTTGGCCTCTGAGGATAGGACAAGAAGCAATGGGTTTAAACTGCAGCCAGGGAAGTTTAGGTTGGACAGTAGGAAAAACTGGAATCAATTGTCTAGGGAAGTGGTAGAATCTCCATCACTGGAGATATTTAAGAGCAGATTAGTCAGACATCTACCAGGGATATATAGACAGTGCTTGGTCTTGCCACGAGGGCAGGGGACTGGTCTTGACGATCTCTTGAGGACCCTTCCAGTTCTAGTGTTCTATGATTCTATGGCGTTGATTCTATGGAATTATCAACTAGTCGATTAGTTGATAAGGGAGGGAACTGCAGCGCCGCAGCAAGGTTAGCTTTTGGCCCCGGGAGCTAACCACTGTGATTCTGCCTTTTAAATGTATTAAAAGCACAGCAGGGAGAACGGGTACGAACCGGGAATCAGTTGTCCTGGCTCACACCTGGTCCTCCTCTTCCCCCTGCCCCTCCCCCCCGCTGTGCTTTTAAAATGTATTAAGAGGACATTTAAATGTGCTGTTCAAATGTATTAAGAGCTCCTTAATATTAATAATAAGAGCTCTTAAAAGCCAGCTCCTCACAAGCACTGGCTCCCACGGAGCCACCTGCCCCCTCGCCCCACTGCCTCTGATAGAGAGGCAGCAACGCAGAGAATAAAGGGGGCAGGCAAGAGCCTGTACATGTGGGAAGCGGCTTTCAAGCCAAGTCCCTCCCTTTCCCCTGTATCACCAGCAGCCCAGGTGGGGCAGGTAGGAGCCAATACATGCGGGGAGCCGGCTTTTAAGTCGACTGTGCAGACCTGCCTGCCCACACCTTATGGTCTCTGATACAGAGGCTGCAAGGTGGGGAAGGCGGATGCCAAAGCCGGCTCCCTGCAAGCACCAGCTCGCAAGCTCCAGCTCCCAACCCCCCACATGTAAACATGTAACTGCTAAAACATCCAGCAGTTACACATTTACACCTTAGTTAAAATCCCCACTAGGGATGTTAAAACGCAAGTAACTGGCTGTGTAACCACTGAAAAAAATTCAGCGGTTACATTCACCCACCGTGTGGGGCAGTCAGCAGCTCCCCGGGAGGCAGTACGTGCCGGGAGTACCCACTCCCGCCTGTTGCCTTGCTCCCAAGCAGCCAGCTGCTGTCCCATGCTGCTGCCTCTGGTACAGAGGTAACAGTGCAGGACAGCAGCTGGCTCCCTGGGAGCTGAACTGGGAACCACATGTGACCGTTTGGGTAACTGAGAAGCTCATGCTTATTGGTTACCTGTTTAAACAGCTACACTCTTCTAACCCTACTCTTCTAACCCTACTCTAAGGGTCTGTCTACACTAGCCCCCTAGTTCGAACTAGGGAGACTAATGTAGGCATTCAAAGTGCAAATCAAGCCCGGGATTTAAATATCCCGCGCTTGATTTGCATCTTCCCAGCCAGTCGCCATTTTTTAAATTTGCAAGTCTGGGCTAACTGCCCACGTCTACATGCAGCAGGGACCCAGCAGTTCGAATTAAAGCCCGTACATTGAACTACCTGTTAAACCTCATTCCAGGAGGAACAACAGGTAGTTCAAACTAGGGCTTTATTTCAAACTACCGGGCCCCTGCCGCGTGTAGACGTAGGCAGTTAGTCCGGACTTGTAAATTTCAAAAATAGTGACCAGCCGGGAAGATGCAAATCAAGCGCAGGATATTTAAATCCCGGGCTTGATTTGCAACTTCGAATGCCTACATTAGCCTCGCTAGTTCAAACTAGGGAGGCTAATGTAGACATACCCTAAGGATCTATAGCCACGGAACCCGGCTCCGGTTCGCCGCTTACAGCCAAGGAGAGCCGCAGGAACCGGAGCCAATGGTGAACTGGAGCCAACGCGAGCCACAAGGCTCCATGGCTAGGGATACTTTAGCAAACAAAGTGGTGGGGGCCAACTAGCAGCTTTCCCAAAGTGGGCCTGCAGCGCACTTTGAGAAACAATGATATACAAGAAAGGAGAGAGGCAGCACAGAAAGGAACAGTGGAGTGTACTGGAAAGAAAAAGAGAGAAGACATTCTTCAGCGCACACACAATTTCCTATATTCCCCTACACTTTTGCCATAGAAAAACGGCCATAGCTGCTGGGTGTAAGAGAGACTCTGTCTGGGAATATTTTGAAGAAATTCTTTCCCTGGGTAAAAAAGGAAAATGTGTCAAGTATAAAAAGAGCAAGATGATGATGTAGGACCTAGCTGCAAGAATGAAACAGCAGAAGGAAAATTGCTTATTAGAAGAAAATGATATAGATGAAGATATGCATATGTCTGAAGAACAATGTGGATCCACTGGTTAATTACTTAATTAATTCACTTTGGAATGCATCATTCTTCAAGACATTCTCTATGCCTTTCAGAATAAGTGTGATTTAACAAGTAAATTCCCAAGCTGTGTGCTATGCTGGAAATTGCTAGGAAAAAAAAAGTTTAGCTAATCCTTATAGGCTTCTTTAATTAGTTAACTAGATTTAGAATCTGTCACCCAGGTATACGGTACAGCTGCAGTAAGAGAGAGTTGCCAGTCGCCATTGATTCAGAGTCTAGAGTTGTCGGTGTCATTTTCTTATTTTATAGTACATTATTTTGAAACATCATAATCACAGACCATAAGGGTGATGCCATAAATCTATTCCCTACTTTACTTCAGCATAACTCAGCTTCCCCATGGGAACCTCATCCTATACTTGTTTTCTCAAAAAACAGAAGCGCCAGTGAGTTCAATTTTACTCCAAAATTGTACATTAGGGATGTTAAGCTGTATCTCCAATAGCGCATTCTACAGACAACTTTCCTCAGATCCCACTGTGGAATACACTAAGAACACAAAGGCAGCAAGTGGGTATGGGGAAGCAAGTAGCCAACTCAACTATCCAATAAGCAGGGCTTGACAAACCGCTGTTTCTACTCGCCCATGGCGAGTAGATTTTAGTCGGTTGCTCCGTGCGCCCCATTCACCGGTGCTTCGCACATGCGCAGTGCCGGTCTGGCGCATGCATGGTGTGGGGCTGGCGAGTGGCTCTCGCCATAGCATAGGCATTTTGATCATTTGGAATTGGATCTTTATCCTTGCTGAAAAAATGTAAATGATTAACTGAATAATAGAGCGAGGGGTGTGACTATTGAAAATCATGTTTTA